AAATAACATTTATAGTGGTTTCGAATTCGTGCCATAAATATTGACTGCTGTATGAGGTCGGAAAAAGTGCGTACATTTTTCAATCGTTCTTCTAGCTTTCAGTTCCTTTTTTTAAGATAAGAGTTCTCTTTTTGAAAACGTTGAACACTTTTTGGGAGTTGGAAGCACTTTTCACTGGATGCAGAACTCGGAGGCCAGGGTGCGCTGATCGGAGTTTCCATGACAAGCTTATGCAGTTACTGATGAATTCACACAATATCACACAACATTTTACTACACGTGGACATTTTACTTGCTGGTTTCACCCGCTTAAGGAGAGAAACTGCCAGTAGTCAAGCAATCCTGGGTTGAGTGTATGATGTGCTCATTGAATATTGCAAAAAAAAAAATCTTTATACTCAAAGGCCAAGAAATATATTCAGAAGGGGTTGGGGTGGGGTGGGAAAGACCTTTGCAAATGGTCACACAGAGATTGTTTGTTTCAATCATAATAGAACTGACAGTATTGTTCACTATGTATCTAAACTAGTTTGCTAATGTTTTTATAACTTTTTAATAAAGCTCCTATACTGATCAAATACACAACACATAAACTTATAAAGTGTACCAAGTGAACTAGAAACTTACCCATTCCTTAAAGACATCCTTCTTTATTGGGGGGAGAGGATCTCCTAACTGAGGCACCATATGAACCATTTTCTGCACACAAATTTCAAACTCACCATTAGTAGGCCTATCTCTACCAATATGAGCCTGCAAAATGAGCAGACTTTCTGATCATCTCATTTCTGGTTTTGGTGGTGATCCCAGTGCCATCTGTTCTACATTTCTTTACAGTACTTGGAGACACTAGAGATAACTTGTGGTAGAGCCCACCAAAGCCACTGTTTACTTCAACAGGCTCATGCCCCTTTTTAACGACCCATCTCCCTGACTTCAATCTTGTCAAAGATAGCTGAGGAGTACGTTATCAACACTTATGTTAAGCCCGCTGTCCTCTCAAAGATCTACCCACAGCAATCTGGTACGGTGCCTAAATCCAGCGCCACGCATGCATTAATTAATATGATTCACTCTTGGGTGAAGTCAACGGATGGAAATGGATCGACTACGAGAGTTGTACTCTTTGACTTCCGGAAGGCATTTAATCTGATTGACCATCATTTTCTGGCGCGGAAGCTTTCCTCCTACGATATTCCAAGGCCGATTTTGTGCTGGATCATGGACTTTTTAACAAACCGTAAGCAAAGGATAAAACTGAGCGGCGATTGCTTCTCTGAGTGGGAAGCTGTTCCTGCAGGGGTGCCACAGGGAACGAAATTGGGCCCCTGGCTGTTCCTTATCATGATAAATAATCTTTCTGTAGCAGACACAATCATATGGAAATACGTTGATGACACCACTCTTGTCGAATCAGTATTGAAGAATGAGTCTAGGTACATGCAATTACGTGTAAACGAACATGTAAGACAGTCAGAAGTTGATGGTTTCCAATTCAATGAGTCTAAATGTAAAGAACTGAGAATATCATTCTCCAGATCAGGGAATCTGTTTGATCATATTACTATCAATGACAAGCAAATCGAATTTGTTTCATCTGCAAGGTTGTTAGGAGTGATAGTCTCGGACAACCTCCGGTGGAATGCACATGTAGAATCTATATGCAAAAAGGCTGCGAAGCGTCTGTACTTCCTAAAACAGCTAAAGCGCGCTAAAGTTCCATCTGAGGATATGCTACTTTTCTATACAACATGTATACGCCCTGTATTAGAATATGCGTGCCCAGTTTTTCATCTTTCTTTGCCGAAATATCTGTCCAATGAAATGGAAAGGTTGCAGAAACGCGCGTTGCAGATGATTGAAACTGAATTATCCTACGCTGAGGCTCTAGTAGCTCTTGACATTGCGTCACTGTGCGAGAGGAGGGAAATCTTGTGTGATGCTCTATTTGATCAGATTGTAAGGGACAAGAACCACAAGCTCCATGATCTGCTGCCTCCATGCAACAAGTCCACCTATCGCACCCGCAGCCAGAGATACTTCAAGCTACCAATTTGTAAGACAACTAGGTTCAAAAACACATTTATCATGGTGAACAGTTTTAATTATTACCGTATTTATTCGCCTATAAGCCGAGCGATTTTTCCAACAAATTAAATTGAGAACAGGTAAATTCTCGCCAAGGTAGGGGGGTTCGGCTTATAGCCGAGTATTTTCACCAAAAAATATTTATGGGTGCTTAACAAGATTCGAAATTCAATGTTTATTCGACTATAAGCCGAGCGATTATCAACAAACACAAATTTCCGAGATCACGAAAGGTAGGTACATGTAAATCATTGTTGGTCATTGACTTTAATTTATGTGGTGGCTCCTAAAGGAGCCGTTTTGTTTGTGAAGTTGAAGTTTGTCTTCTTCGCTGTCAGTCTCAAACTCATCCTCCATGTCATCATCAGCTACCTCAGGCATTTCGTCGTCGTAGATGGCGTCGTCTTCTGTTCCATCGAGAGCGTTTGAGATCCCGCACGTTTTGAACGATCTTCTCACCATCTCTTCCGGAATCTCTTCCCATGACTGCTTCACCCAACGAAGGACCAGGTTTTTCGACGGGGCCTTCTTCTTTCCCGCTGGCGTGTACTCGAAGGGACCTGTCATCATCCAGTTAAGGTACTTTCGCCGCATGTTGTCCTTGAATGGTTTGTTGAGGCATTTGTCTAATGGCTGCAGGACTGGAGTCAGGCCGCCTGGAATAACAGCTACGTCGATCTTGCGCCGTTGTAGGT